GATTTTAAGCCATTTCATGACATACATCTGATCTCAGTTCAGCTACTGCTGTTCTTTGTACATACTGCAGCTCCTGCTATGGACCCTGCTGTATTTTGCATGCTCGCTTCTACCGCACTACTCAGCTGAATTCAAATCCGTCCCTCCTGGCCAGGGACCTAAATCAGCTGCTAAATTTGCCCTCTCAAGAATGAGGGTGGAATATGTATCAACTCCCCCACAGTTCTTAATGGGAAGGATGAGAATGTGACTGCTGATTGCTTTTAGCTTTTAAGCAAATGTGAGGTGACTTGCATATAAAGCCAGAAGCTACCTCAGCTGTCATATTCTCTCATCTCTCCCCACATAGAAGCGGGGATATAAATATATGTGTTTGTGGATGTAGATAGCCTTGTGCTTCCAGGAATTGTATGTGCCACTGTCAAAAACCACCCACTGTAGCTTCCTGAAGATACCTTCTGAGCAGTCCTGCATGTTATATGCCCTGTGCTAAGCTATATGACTTGTGATGACATCTGCTGTGAATGGTAGTGTTCTTCTCTCTTTTTTTCCCCCCAGCAAAATAAAACCATCTTTAGGATTTTTCTTGTATTTAAATTAATCTTTATGCAAGTCTTTAAAATACCCGAGTCAGTTTAAACTAGTTTCAGGTCAGCAAGCAATACAGGGCAGCACGCTAGAAAATGCATCTATAAAATTCAAGAATATTAACCAACTAAAATAGTGCTAATTAGGTTTGCATGGCCTCTCTGCATCTAAGCAACTTGCTTGCTGGGCTTCTAATTTTATCTTTCTAGTTGCCAAATTAAAAGTCACTGTCATTCAGCTGGGAGGGGGTAGGGCAAGGAGAGGATGAGTACAAATGAACTGGTTCTGATATGCAATGTATCTTCGTGGTTTTCACTGTACTGAGTGCGTAGTAGTCAGTTTGCAAATCTTGGCAATGCAGCATGTCAGGATTTTTCCACCTATGGGTGCTTGTCATTTCTAGTTGTCGGGGTCATGCAGAGCTGCAAGAACTTTGGGTCTGAACCGGTTGCTGCCTAATCTTCTGCAGTAATAGTTTGTTACAGAGAATAGCACTTTTCCTGCTGCTTATTTCCAGACAGTACCATCTCTTCTCCATTCTCCCTCCCCCTGGAGTGCCAGTCTGAAGTGCTGTTGTCCTTATTCTCCCTTTTTTAGAAGCCGCAGGCACATCTCCGGTGCAGGTGTTGCTACAGCAATGCATGCTATTATCGCCTTGAACCACCTGCCCACCTCCTGTGTGGTATGAGCAACTGTACAGACCCAGGGTAGAGCAGTTCTCTATCCAGGTCTGATGATGGCATAGTCTCAATGGAGGGTCTACACATCTGGAACTTGCTTCTTCAGTGTGGCATAACCTAAACTCACCGTGTGTCAGTCTGCTGGACAGGGTTTGCTGATAGGTCTCACTGCTCAATGGAGCTGTGTTTCTTTTGGTCTAATTAATAGGAGCCTGTGCTTTTTTGTTAGGGGGCAAAAGGTTGTGTGCAGCACTCAAATCATTGCTGCAGCATCCACAGTGGTTTAGGGTATAAACATGGGAGCAACTTACCCTGAAATTAAAAAGGGCAGGGCTGTAACTATCCAGTAGATGCTCTGTAGGAGCTGCCTGTTGCTCCATTCTTGTTCCTACATCAGTGGAGGTGAAGCTTCAGTAATTTAGCCCTATCTAATCAGTCTGTCCAACCTGCTCTTGAAAATATCCAGGGATGGAGAGTCCACAGCTTCCTAAGCAAGCTGTTCCCATGCCTGACCACCCAGGGCTAGGGGATTAAATAATTTGTACAAAGTCTAATCTCTCCATGTCTGAACTTGGGAGTCATGGTTCTTGTCTCCTTAGATTTTGAACATCACCCTCATCGCCATACTTCCAGCAGCATGGAGCAGTGTATCTAGGACCTCTTCTGCTTCTGTCGCCCTTCTGTCTGGGAGTTCTTGCTGTACTTTGGCTCGTGGTTTGTTTCAGCAAAAATGGGGTCACGTGGCACCAGGAGTAGATCATGGTGCAGTTTGGAGAGTTAGATCCTGTTGCAGTTGTTGGACCAGGTCTGGGAACAGCGCCGTCTCCTGCGTAAATGGGCTTCACCCTTGCAGTGAGGCAGTTCCTTCTTGCTAGAGGATCAGAGAGAGTTGTCAGCTGCAGTTTCTATATTACATTTAGTTACCCTGGGACCAGGTCAAGTAAGCATTCAAGAGTCCTGGGTAGTTCTGGTGGGAAACTCAACTAGAGCTGTTGTGAGTAACCGGTCTTTCAGGTTAGATGAATGTTAACCATAATATTTAAGAGTTAGAATTTTTCTTTGGCTTTGAAATAATTTAGTCTGTTCTGACTCATGGTGATGGGTCATGGCTGTGGCATCTCAGTTTATAATTAAGTGAGGCCAAAGCTTAATAGTGGCTGACTCTTACTGAGTCTCCTTAATGAGAATGTAGAAACAAGGCAATGCTCAGAAGAAGCAGGATGAGGAGAAATGCTTAAAAAAAGAAAATCACAGCAACAACAATAATTTCATTTTAATTTGAATGAAAGTTATCAGTCTGGAAAGTGAAACCTCTTGTTGGTCATTTTATTTAGAGTCTAAACTTTCTATAGTCAGATGATCCAAATGATTTTTCCAGCTGTCCCAGTTTGTCACAAGCTCCGGAGCTCCTAATTTCAAGCAGACATTTTAAAGCTCTGAATAGCTCTCGGTCATTATTAGCATCACTAGGGCCTGGTACATGTCATTTTTTTTTTTCTTGTATACCTGGAGCGTGCTCTCTTTCTTGCTGCAGCAGCACACAGTAAGTGTGGTTAAAGTAGGAAACCCTTATTCCCTCTGCTGGTCTAACTAATTCCTAGTCTCACATGGGAATAGCTGAACTGGCTAAAGCAGCTGTACACTTGCATTCACACTGGGAGTTGCCTGGCTTCACCTCGTCTTACAGTGAAAGCAATGTGTTTTGTGTTTTTAGACAAGCCCATGTGTGGGTTAGGCCCTCGAAAGCCCAAGAGCTGAAATGCTGGCTGAGATGGAAATTACATGCCACAAAGTGAATCATTGTGGTCATAAAAGCGGGGCCTCTGCCTGGTAACCTACATAAAACACTTGGGTGTGCCCATTTTGCAGTGGGTGAGCTGGAGCAGATCATAGGTGACAAGCCGTTGGGACCCAGGGGATGAACTTCTCTTACTGCAGACTCAAAGCATCAGTACATTTGTTCCCTTGATGTGTCCATAATGTCTTGGCTGCGCTACAGGTGATGTACGTCACAGGCTCTTCCTTGAAGAGCTTGCACTCTTGATGACCTAAAGCATCATTCGCTGTTTAGTAATTGAACTGTGCACAAAGCTTGATGTTCTGTGACTTTTTTTTTCCCCTCTCCGTGGACGGAGATTGGCTGGATATTGAAAAAAGTCGGTGTGAGGCTATTTTGAACGAGGGCAAGAGCCACCTGTTTAAAGGATGTTATGCCTACTCTTGGGTTGAGTGCTTATGAGAGCTGGGATAACACATGGCAGGCATGCCGGATATGCTGGCTATGTTTACTGCTCCGGTTTGTCCTACCCCCTCAACGTGTCCGCGAGGGTATTTGTTCCAAATACAGACTTAGGCTCTTGGCAGAGGTCGGAAAAAGAAGAAGTTGCTTCTCAAGCCCCATCACTTGCTTCTTCACCTGGTGCATCCTCTTGTTTGTAGTGTTACAGATATTGTTATGCCCCCTGCTAACTTTCACTGCATGTCCTGAAGGTTTCTCTCACATGGCTCAGCCAGGTCACACTTAATTCTACCTTTTCTGAAACGTGCACCTGCCGTTTTTTCCTGGTAAAAGAATACCAGCAATACTCAAGGAAATCCCAAGATTAAATACCATCTGCCCACCATGGTTCCTTCCCCTGCGTTCTTTTCCTTGTGCTGGTGAACCCAACCCTTGGACCACTTTCCCCCTTTAAATGAGTTCCTTGCTACTCTTTTTCTTCCATACAGCTTCTCACCAGTCTTTGCCTCTCCTTCCTCAATACCATCCTCACCCTATTTATACCCACCCTGCGTAGCTGCAGGCTTTCTGGCTGGCCTGCTAATTGTAACAGTGGTTAGCCCCAGGCCGCCTGGCCCTGTACGTCAGGCACCCTGCTTCAACACTGCTAAAAGCTTTGTACTGCTGGTCTCTGCTTTCCTTGACACTTTTGCAGTTGGTGGAAAATAAACTAATCACTTTTCTGGAAATTAAGTCACTTTGTCATTAGACTGGCTTTGGTTTGGACTTCTGGAGTGAATAAGGATAAAGACAGCATGGAATGAAAAGTGAAGTGCTTCTTCTGTAGTCTGTCTTGCATGTGAGGCCGTACGTAGTAGTGGAATAGTAAGTGCATTGAGGCAAAAGTAGTTGACAGTTGTGTCTGTATGTGTCTTGCAAAGAGAGAGAATTTCTAAGGTGAAAATACAAAACTTTAATACTGTTTTTACAAAGTTGTGGCAGTTAAGGTTCCCCAAGCAGCCTTGTAATTCTGCCTGTCAGCCCTTCGTATTGTGCAGTGTCACTTATCAGTGCATTGCAAATAGATGGCGTATCCCAGTTGTGCTGTCTTGTAGTGTGAATAAAAGGTAGTTTGGCTCAACATCAAGGGGCTTGGGCATTGTTTCTGGACCGGATGGATAAGAAGCTGGGTATTAAGTGTGTTGCTTTTCAGGACCAGGCTTAAATGGGAGGAATCTATCTGCAGGCTGTGGTGGCTCCTACTTGGATAGTTATCTTTGCAACCATACCTTAATTTTTTTTCTCATTTAAAAAAAGCGAAAGCATTGAAGCCGCAGAAACGTATGGCTTAATGCTCCTTCCCACTTGTGAGAGCAGGCATGTCAGTTTTCCACGTCTAGGAGAATGTTCAAGGCCCAGGGCCCATCTCCGTTTCTACTAGATGACTTCTAACGATTTACTTAAATATTTTTATACTACTTTGAGATTATAATCTTTCTTCATTTTGTCTGCAGCTGGAAAAATCAGAGCCTGATCCAAGGCCTTTGCCTTGTGTCCAGCTTTGAGATTGGAGGCTACCAGAAATCAAAGCACCTGAGAGAGCTCCACCTGCCAACCTGTCTGACATGTCGGGACCCGTGCCAAGCAGGGCCAGAGTTTACACTGATGTAAACACACACAGACCCCGGGAATACTGGGACTATGAGTCGCATGTTGTCGAATGGGGGTAAGTGTCCCCACTTCTTGCTGACTCGCCAGGCAGGGGCTGATCCTTGTTCAGACTGCCTGGGTTGTGTGTTTGGAAAGCTCCCAGTTCGAGCCTAGGCTATCTTGCAGTTTGCTAATATCCTAGCAGTGGCAGTTGTTAAATTTTAAACTTTGTAGAAATAATGTAGTGTCCTTTCATTGTCTGAAAGTTTGTCTTGCCAGCATGTTTAGACCTCCTAGCAGTTCAAAAAAGTGCCCCCTCCTTGGTTTGATTTGAAGTAAATAGCCTTGTCAAAGGGTCAGAAATTTACCACCCCACTATAAAATTTCAGTTTTGTGATAAGGAGCTAATCTTTACTGTCCTGGGGAAATAATTTGAAAAACCTTCATAAGATACTTGCATGTTAAGTAACTGAAGAGACTTCTAGTAGGCTTAACAAAAAACCTATATGCATCACTTTATAGCTTTCTTGCTCAGCTCTGCAAGCTGTATATGTGGTTTTTCAAAGGCACAGAGCATCTAAATTGAAGTTATAACTAAAACCTCCCAGGAATCAGACAAGGCTCAGAGCTCAGCAGTGCTGCTTTTATATAGCAGGCTCTGGACTATCTTGGTCCTACCCTTATCTTTGCTGCAGTGTCTGACTTCTTGAATGTACATTGTCTTCTGAGCTTCAGCAGCAGCATACACTTAGCCCACTTTAAATGGGAGTTTTAATATTTACATTTTTGGAGCTGCTTCCAAGTAACTCGAATCAGTTGTGACAGTCTCCATTAACTTGATTATCTTGCGAAGCACATGGAAGCCACATGTACAAAGTCTGCTGGAAGGGCCAGTCTTAACTGAACTACATAGCTCTTTCCCAATCCTCCACTCGGGAAAACAGACTGATTGGACACTGAGCTGATATTTTTTTCTCCTGTTGGAGAGGAAGCTGATCAGCACAGTGTGGATTTGATTCTTGTGAAGAACCTTGAACAGACGCTTGGAAGGAGGTCTGCTACCCACCAAAAGGTGCCCATCGAGCTGTGGTAGTGAAAGGCTTTGTACACTGCCTTCCCAGCAGGCCTCCTGAACAGGAGGAGCCGCTTAGAGGAGCAAGAGGCCAGCTGTCTGCAGGGCCCCTTCATCCTCAACCTCTTGTTGATATACGATGAACTTCTGTTGAGCGAGAGCTTCGTTGGGCCAGCTTCACTGAAATGGGCAGGCATCAGCTGCTCTTGGTAGCCACTGAACTGATTTGAACTTGAATAGACTGTAGAAGGTGAGGGTTAATATTTTTCTATCAGTTCTTAATCGTTTAGGATCTTTCTGCTAGACTGACTAACTAGAAGGGAAGGTGAGGCAGAGAGCTGGTGTCCGTAGAAGTAGCGTTTTATGAATGACAGTAAAGAGTGACTTACCTCTTTTGGAACTCTGTGGCTTTCTCTCCGCAGAAATCAAGATGACTATCAGCTAGTTCGGAAATTAGGCCGAGGCAAATACAGCGAAGTGTTTGAAGCCATCAACATCACAAATAATGAAAAAGTAGTCGTTAAAATCCTCAAGGTGAGTCAGGGAACCAGAGAAGGTCACGGTCTGTACCTGGGACATCTGCGTGGCTTTCAAGTCCAGGACTGGGGCCAGAGCTCCTTAGATGTCCTAACACAAATGGCCACGCCTCTGGAAATCTGGCAATGGAAAATGTCATCTGTAGCCTTTGAAACATTTTGACTTGATAATAAACTCACCGTAGTCACTATCTTGCAAGCCCTGTTTGGTGATCGTTTCGAATACCAGCCTGTAGGACATCTGTGTTAACAGCTGCATCTGCTTCCATGCTGGTCCATCCTTCCCAGGTGCTGCTCCATGCTTCTGTCTGCTCCCATGGCTTTCTTGCCATGGCACTGAGGAGTTCAATCTTGCAGTATTAATTGGTGAAATATTCTAACCTGTCAATATCATGAGGGGTTAGAATATCATTATATCATGCCGGTGGTCCTCTCAGCTCGCTTGTCACGTGGTGCTAGTTATGTCCTTTTGTGCTGCCAGGTTACATTTAGACAGCTAAAAATACATCCGCTTCTCCATTAAAACTTTCACAGAAGAGTCGCTGGAGCTGTTGAAGTTGTCGTATGACTGCAAGTGGGAGGAGAGACTGTTTTGTTATCACTTCTAAATCCCTAAGGGCGCCGCATCCTTTACGACAAGGCAGTCCTGTTTGCCACCTGGATGCGGAGCTGTTGTTTTCTGTTAATCTCATTCTCACTGGAATGCTTTATTTTACCGTTTTCCCTTCTAGCCTGTAAAAAAGAAGAAAATCAAGCGTGAAATCAAGATCTTGGAAAACTTGCGAGGTGGTCCCAATATCATCACCCTTGCAGACATAGTAAAAGACCCTGTGGTAAGTATGTGAGGGGCTTGCAGGGTACCCTGGGGTTAATGCCAAGGTTACTGGGCTTGACTACAGCACTGACATGGCCTCGCTTCGTTTTTCTCCTACTTTGAAATCCTGCTTTTGAATGACTTAATCTGATCAGCCCTTTAATCAGATTACTGGTTTTCGGAGGGCCCTCCCCCCTAGACCATGTCTTACTATTGTGGACCAAGGGTCTGGAAGCACTGAACTGAGATGTGTTAATTCATTCTGTAGATGTAGGGCCAGTGCACAGCAGTGCAAGCTGCAGCTTTACCCTTGCTGTCTGAGTGAATCCCTGAAAACTACAAAAATGTGTTCATTGTTAATGGGAAAGGGCCATTATTGAAGGACTCGATAATAGAAATGGCACTACTGCCCTGAATACATGCAAAGGCTAATTATGTCAAACATCATGTGGCTAAAGACTACTCTTTCTCTCCTAGTCCCGGACCCCTGCTTTGGTTTTTGAACACGTAAACAACACAGACTTTAAGGTACGGTGAGAGATCCGCTTGTATTTTTTTTCCCATTTAAATCTTTCTCAATGGGGAAAGACTAGTATCTCTACCTTGGGCAAGTTTTTTAAGGGTAGTTTCCTTTTGACACACTACCCTGACTCTTGAGGAGGCTGAGCAAGGGCAGAAGTTGCTAATTTGCCCGTTCAAAATGATTTGGTCATGGAGCTCTTACTAGTAGCTATACACTCTGATCCCACATCTTGCTCTGCTGCTAGACCAAGCACTTCCCACATATCAGGAGGCATTACAACTGATTTGGACTGTGGTTTCATTACAAGCTTGCTTTGGCTCCCAGCATGAGACTTGATCTGATCCCTCTCCTTAACTTTTATTTGTTTAGAAAAATGCCTGTTCCCATAGCTTTCCGCTGCTCTGAGCACAGGGACTTTGGTGCTGCTTTGCCCCTCCCCGCTTCGACCTAGCCTCAGAGAAGAATAGCTGTGTAACACCATCTGGAAGAGCTCTCTTAATCTTGCAACGATCTTTCCCCTCTTTGAGAGCCAGCACTTCTTATGACACAGCATTTGGAAAGGGTTTTGAGGTGCCTGCAGCAAAGCGGGGTAGAACTGTGCTTTGAGAGTGGTGTTTGCATTGAACCTAGGTAGTGTGAACTATGTAATTGGATTATGGTGGGAGGAGGAGCAGGGAAGTCTGAATGAGTGGGGGAAGGAGGCTGTGACCTCCTTCTGTGCCTAGCACTGAAGTAATGCATTTATCTTGCAGCAATTATACCAGACGTTAACAGACTATGACATTAGATTCTACATGTATGAGATTTTGAAGGTAAGCATGTGCTGTCTTGCTTGTTGCCTGTTTTATGAGATCTGTTTATACCTCTGCAGTTTGCCTCTGGGATACAGCCCCTCAGTGCTTGGGGTGACTTGTTAGGTATGGAAAGAAAGGAGGAGGCCCACATAAAATTAGGGTGGAAGAATGGATGCACGAATTCACATGAACCTCCTTGCCATGGTTCCGCAGCAGATGCTGGCTCTGCTGGGAAATAGAGCTATAGCATTTGAGTGTAGAGAGCTACATGATAGACTGTTCCAAATCATAAGGTATAAGTGTGTTGTAGCCTATACTAGTGGAAAGCTGATAGGAAGCTATGATGGGCTAGCTCCTACCTGTCAGTGACCTGAGCTCATTTGCTGCCCATATCCTTTCTTCCTTAGATAGGATAGGGAATTCTTTTTATTCCTCCTATGTTTTGAGAGAGCTAGGTGTTTGGTCCATAGTGCCTGGTAGCCCTACCCTTAGGGGTCCTATTGAAATTCCACTTTTATAAGGAAGCATGTGAAGTGAAGCTAGGGACATTGGGCCCACTCCTGGAGAAAGGTATTGAAAAGTCAGTTCTAGAGAGGTTTATTTTTCTTAGCGCATGAGGTTTGGAATAGAATAGGCTTATGGTAGTGGTCAAGTCTGCTGTGTGGCAAGACCGGGGTGCATGCTGAAACAGTTACACACTGGGTTTGAATAAAAAGCTGTGCCTCAAACATTTCTATTATCTGCATGAACTTTAAAGATGGTTTGGGTCACACATCTGTGCTGTTAACAAGAGTGACTTTCAGCTGGAGCCCCTCCATCCCAAGACTGGGGCCTTGTGCAGGGATCTCAAGGAATGTCTCATGGTGGGCTTCCACTTCAGTTAGAGTGGGTGCAAAATGAGACTGCTCACCTGTGCTGCTGATAACTTTTCCTTTTCCATGTGTTTTCTTCAGGCCCTGGATTACTGTCATAGCATGGGGATCATGCACAGAGATGTCAAGCCTCACAATGTCATGATTGACCATGAGCACAGAAAGGTAAAGGTGGGACCTGGGTGGGTTTCACTCTTGTGTGAACTCTACAGCACCTCCTTCAGGTCACTTCCATGCTGTGGCAGTGCTTCCATTATTTGAGCACATGTAAAATGAAATTCTATAGGCTGGTTTTTCTTAAACTTACTCATATAGGTTATACAGAACTGCAACTGTCCTTGGCCCATGGAAGACTGACCTGCTGAGACCCTAACTTAACACAGGCAGTAACACATTAGGAAGCACTTGCTTCCTATCCTGTGACTGTGGAACCAGAATTCCATGATGTGGTTGCTCAAACGGTTTGAAGGATGTTGTGGTGGAAAAGGTGCTGGTTAAGTATTTTCAGCACAAGGAAAAAGAAAGTGCATATGGTGTAGACTAACCCTCTATCAGGAAGTTACAGAAATATTCATTATCTCGTTTCCAGTTGATAGGGAACAGAGAACTTTAGTCTGATATCCCACACAAATAAAATTGTCCAGTATGTGATTTATAGTCATTGGTGAGCTGAGGGAGACTGCGTTAATTCACTTCTTCCTATTTCATTTCTAGCTCAGGCTAATAGACTGGGGTTTGGCTGAATTCTATCATCCTGGTCAGGAGTATAATGTCAGAGTGGCTTCCCGGTATTTCAAAGGACCTGAACTCCTTGTAGATTATCAGGTAAGAATCCCAGGTTCCTTGTCTTTGTCTTATACGAAAGGTCAGTTAGACCAGGAAATTCAGATATCTAGAGATTTGATGTAGGCAAGGTTATTTGGGTAGATATGATATCTTTTATTAGACTACCTGAGTAGATGGCAAAAAGTTCTTAGCAAGGTTTTGGGTGCAGTCACCCTTCTTTAGGCATAGGGACTTTCTGTTGGAGTTTAAGAGCCAGGAGGATTGATTCTGGGGTGTGGGGCAAAACAGCTGTGTAGCTGAATGATGTTAGGGTCTTTGGGAGAGCTAAGAAGCTACAGGCCTGCATCCTTGATTACAGAAGCAAAAGAAGGTACAGGGGCCAAACTTGCATGGGTGCACATGAATCAAACTGGACCTTGCCTTATACAGAGGGAAACTAATATGGTGCAGCCTGCTAAATGAAGCCTTAAAAATAAATCCTATGAAGACAACTGCTGCAGTTTCTCAGCTACAGACTGGGAAGACACCATTTATAAGATACAAAGTGTTTCCTGACCCAAGGGTCTTTTCCCTTTCAGGGTCAGATTAACTCCTTGCCCTTCTTGGGGAGGAGCAAACCACTTTTATAATCTTGCCCGTCTCATGTGGTGTCTCTGGGAACCTGTATTTAATGTCGGTCAGTGAGTTCTACAATATGTAATGCTAGCGAATGTAACAAGCTACGGAAGGCCTGCGGTTCCTCGTCAGTCGGATGGAGCTTAAGACACCTGCCACTATTCTGTATTAACTACCGCATCCTGTTCTGAACAGCTGGAGTTTGACTCAAGCAGTAATGATTAAGTTGAGTGAGCATGTTTCATTCTTTGTTCTCAGCCTGGTCAGTTGTCCTGTGCATCACGGAAACCTCTCTCTTCAACACAGGAGTCACTCAAGGAGTTAGCTGACCAGAAAGAGTAAATCATGCCTTTGCTTCTCTGCAGATGTATGATTACAGTCTGGATATGTGGAGCTTGGGTTGTATGCTGGCCAGTATGATCTTTCGAAAGGAGCCATTTTTCCATGGCCATGACAACTACGATCAGGTGAGTGCTAGTCTCCATTCAGTGCACTGTGGTTCGGGCCTCAGGTTTGGAATTCTGGCCACTGCAAAAGACTGGAGGAAGGTTCCCCGTGCCAGATCTGGATATTTGACGGTGGGGGAGCAGTGGCTTTGTTACTTGCCACAGCCATGGGCTCTGCCACAGCAATCGACAGTGCAGTAGCTCCCCTGCTGTGAAATTTTGGGCCTGTGTGGAGCCCCAGGGACCAGATGACATGGCCCCTTGACTGCTCTGCCTGCTTTATACTAGCCATTGGGGTATCTCTGCAGTGTTTGTGTTCCTTCACAGCCTGCCAACTGGGAGCCACAAGGCCATCCCAGATTCCAGTTGCAGTGTTCTTGAATACTGCTCAGGCTATGTAAAGGGTGAAATGATGGCTTTTTCATACTGGGTCTAGCTCATCCTCCTTCTGTGATGGTGTATTTTTCTGTTGTTTGATCCTAGTTGGTGAGGATAGCCAAGGTGCTGGGGACAGAAGACCTGTATGACTACATCGACAAATACAACATTGAGCTGGATCCACGTTTCAATGACATCTTGGGCAGGTTAGCCAAGACCTATTGCACATGATCTCTGAGCCCTTGGTAGGCCAAGTAAGGTTGTCTTCTGGCAACAGGATTTTTTGTTTAGACCCAGGCCACTGTCTTGGAAAGAAAGCGGTGCTGGGTTCCGTAGCAAGGGATACTTTCATGTGCCTGGTCCAGTATAGTAGTCCTGCCACTGACGGTCCCTCTTGCAGATGTAATCAAGGATAATGCTGAACTTCAGGATGTCATCTAGGCACTAAATAGACAGCAGGTGATGGAGCATGACTAAGCAAATGCTGCCACTTTCCACCTGGATATTTTGGTGGAGAAGCCAGCACCTTTGTCTCTGGGAATTCCAGCATAGCAGTTTGGCACTTGGGAGTAGGTGGATTTGTCCTATGAAGTGCTGACTAGTGCAGTGATGCTCACCAAACAACACACTCCATGTGAAGGAGACAGTAGGGAAATGATGCTGGGGTTTAACTCCTGGGAATGACAATGTCACGGCCTGAGTCCAGGGGCTTGAAAAGAGTTGTGACCGTTGTGCCACCAAGCGGTGGAAAGCTGTGCTGCAGCAGTGGTTTGGTCACATTCGGTGTCTCTTGGAATAGCAAGGGTATCGGTTGGGCACAGAACCTGGCCAGCAGGCTTGTTTAAAAATCAGTAAATCAGAAGCCATTCAGCCGTGGTCTGTCATTCTCCCTTCATCTGACTTCTCTCCGTCTGCAGGCATTCCCGTAAGCGATGGGAGCGCTTTGTTCACAGTGAGAATCAGCACTTGGTGAGCCCAGAAGCTCTGGATTTCTTAGACAAGCTGCTGCGGTATGACCACCAGTCACGACTGACAGCTAGAGAAGCCATGGAACACCCTTACTTCTGTAAGTATACGCTGCCTCCTGTCTTGCTGCTGTTTGAGCTGCTCTTCTGCCACCTGCCAAGGCAGTTTCTTCTGGTTTGTGCTGATCTCTGTGGTTGTGAGGAATGCTGTAAAATGAGGCTGACCTCTGGGACTGCCTGTGTTTGACTCTAGAAGATGGGATAACACCCCCACCACTTATACAAGCCTGGACTAGTGCTGAGAAAGGGGAAGTGCTCCCAGGAGAGTACGGGTGAGTGCTCTGAATGCCACTGTCAGTCCAGTGAGTCAGCTGCCCTGGTAATGAAGCCTTTTAGTGAGGCTGCTTTGGTGTCAGCCTTGTGATGATTTCAGCACAGATGCCTGATTCCTCATCTATGTTTCAGTACAACCAGATGAATGTGCCTTGTTGGGTAACAGATCTGCCTTGTCCCCTTTTGTTGCTAAATGTGTAGCCGAGTGAATAGCACGTGCAGTTTTTTTTCTAATTTCTGTTTGGGCATATGGCAAAGTTCTCAAGCATATTTGTTCTCCAAATAATTCTTGGTCTGCAGATTTTTCATGGCAATTTGCAACAGTGTGAAGTACGAATATTTGTCTTAGCCATATACCAGTCGCATCCTTCTTGCGGTGTCAGGTTGACTTGTGGAATTAGTCATCAGTGCGAGCTGAAATTTTTTGCACTGTAAAATAAATGACTTGAAAATTTGCTTTTGGCAAGTGTTTGAACTCAATAGAGCTCAGTCTTTTTGGCCAGCGAGCCAGATGGGCAATGTCCAGGCCATCCGCCAACTGGATCCAGGTTGAAGGTCCCAATCCAGCACCAGTCGTGGCAGGATCCTATCCGGCCGAGCAGAGCGGGGCAGGGCATCCTGGCTCCAACCTGGCCCTTTGTGGGGAGAAATGGTGCATGGCCCACCCCTAACCCAGCCCCACGGAGAAAGGGGGCATGACCTGGCCTCATCCAGCTGTGGGAGTAGCGGGAGGGGGCATGACCTGGACCCAACCTGCTACGTGAGGCTCGGTTTGTGAATTTGGCAGCAGAAGAGGGTGGCTGTATTTATTGCCACTGCTCCCTTGTGATCAAATTTCCTGATCCATGGGCAACCCCGCAGGCTGGATACCTATGGCTCTGTGGGCTGCAGGCTGGAGATTGAACACCCCTGTTAGAGTTAAAAGCTTTTCACGAGCACTTTGGCACTCACTTCCCACAGCTGGGAAGCATGGACAGTAATACCAGCTGTTTGTAAAAAGGGAAATTCATGAAAAGCAAGCATTACCATGAGGCTGTGCTCCAGTGCAGACACTCTGTGAACCATGAAGCCCTGGGCTGTGTGTAGAATTAACCTTTTAACTTCCTCTGTTCATTTGGGAGAAGTCTAGTTCTCCAAGCTGCTAATTTTTTCCCTTTCCCGTCTAACTTGGGGATGTTTTTGCCCCTCTGCTTTTTTTTACCATCTTTCAAGCACTTGTTGAGGCTAAAGAGTGCTGCACAAATGCAGTTTGTTAGTGGTCAAAAGCGTCAGTTCCCACAGAAAACGCAGCACATTTTTGTGAAGCAGAGGGCAGAATTTGATACCCAGAATAATCTGTTGTGCAGCCTTGCAGTGATTCGCTACGTACACACACCGCATGCAGGCCTTGTGCTGCCTGGCAAACCAGAACCTAAACCTAGTATGTTCTTCCAGATCCCATCGTGAAGGACCAGGCTCGGATGGGCTCGTCCAGCATGCCGGGAGGCAGCACTCCTGTCAGCAGTGCCAGTATGATGTCAGGTCAGTTCCAGCGCAGGCTGCTTTTGAGAGGTGCTGCCGCACTTGCTGCGTAGGACGGGACCAGGGCTGAATTCTACACCTGATGCTTCTAGCCTTCAGCTCCAGGGTGTGAGCTGCTAAGGAGCGGGCTGTGGGGGGAGTTACAAAGGGTTGGAGGGAAAGGGGGAAGATCTGCTTATTGATTCATTGCAGCTTAACCTGACTGTTCCCTGCCTGTTCAACAGATGGAAGTTCCCCAGGAGTGAATGCCATTGGGATAGGTTTGAAAGGTGTAGGTCTATAGGGGCAGTGGTCACAGAGCTGTGCATCTGCTCTCAGATGATGATAGCTCCTTACAATCACGGACTAGGTACACGCATTCAAAAAACCCATGGCAAAATCGATTTAAGTTGCATGGTTTTCTGTAAGCAGTGTAGTTTAGATCAGTAGTGAACAAATGCCATTTGCCCTTTGGTAGGAGGGGCAAGTCTCAGACTTGATTCCACCATTTTTAAACTGGTCTGTGTGTGCTGAAGTTCTGTTCTGTTACGGGTATAAACCAGTTTTGTGAGCCAAACGTCTGTTGTGGGTATAGACTGGTTTCTGATCACTTATACCAATAAAAGTGTCATGTCTGCCCCTGGCCATGGACCCTCCGGAGCTTGGAGACCAGTGAAAGCTCTTTAGGCACCGCTTGTTCTTTTGAAAGCAGTGGGAATATAATAATGTTACCTCTGGCCTCTAAGTATGCATCCACCGATTTTATTTTTATTTTTTATTTTTTGTGTGTATTATCTGCCACCTCTGCTCTAAGTCACACAAAGCTGTTTTGTTTCAGGGATCTCTTCAGTGCCAACACCTTCGCCCCTTGGACCCTTAGCAGGCTCGCCAGTGATTTCTGCCACCAACACCCTGGGGATGCCAGTTCCAGCTGCCGCAGGAGCTCAGCAGTAGTGATGGTTTTTTGTCTCCTGATGCCTGAGTTGAGTCAGGTGGGGAAGAGGTTTTCCCCTCCACCTCTCCCCAGGACGCAGCTCGCGCCTGGCCGGGGAAGAGGAGGGGTTGGACCGCTTCGGAGGCACTGTGTCTGAACAGTTGCTTGTGGATTTATAGTAGTTCAGTCATTATATAAAAAAAATTATTATAGGCTGTTTTTTTTTTTTTTTTTTTTTTTTTTTTTTTTTTTTACTTGAACTTTTCGTAACTCAGGGGAATCCCTGAAAATACCTGAAGAAGGAATATTTCTCGGACAGTTTTTTGTTTGTTTGGTTTTTTTTTTTGTTGGGTTTTTTTTTTCCCCACCCCCCACCCCAGACTCCTCCTCATCGAGAATAAAGATGAATCAACTGCGTTTCCAGGCCGTTGCATCCTGCTGGAAATCTCTTCTCTTCATAGTCCCACCATTATTCCTCCACCAGCCTACACCATGGGGGGATTCTCCTGTGCTTTTCTCCGGAGGCTACCAAGCCAAGTTTTGACAAGGCCGGGGGAGGTGGGTTTCTTAAAGTACCGATCACTTTAACACCATATTCTACATATGACTCAACTGGGGTACGTTGAGGAGACAACTTCAGTTCGTAGCAATGGTCAAAGTGTATAAGTGCAGATAAGGCTTCAAACCCTATTCTGTCCCGTGTGAATTATGTCTCCCTAGGAGCTAACCAGAATGCCAACTCACTCCCTTGCATGTAATTTTAGTCTTAAGCATAACGTTACGGATCCAGTGGAAGTCCTTGCCATCTCCCAGTAAAGGTGCTCTAGAAGGGGGAAGCTGTACCCTCCTCTGTACCTTCCCCCCCACATAGGGTTCTTCCTGCCAGCTGCTTGGCTTGGAAGTCTAGCATTTATTTGTTACTGGGTATATTGTTTTTAAATGGCTTATGCAGATTTCAGGCTGGTGGCTAGTTAAAGAGCTGGGAAGATCAGACTGCGCCAAGTCAGATACTGTCTTCACCCACCACCCTCTCCCTCACGTGCCATGTGGTGAGAATACCGGTTACCTCAGTCTTGTAAATATGCACTGAGAGGAAGGAGCGAGCAGACTCTAACTTAAACTGAAATGGTAGACCTGTAATTGTGGACAGATATTACCGTTAACGAGTAACAGGAAAAAACAAAACAAAAAGGCACCCTTGTTCCAGCCCTGCTACCCCTTGCTGTGTATATATACTTTGTCCTTCATTGTGAAAGAGCCAGTGTTGGAATTCTTTGGTGTAAATAAACATTTGGTTTTATTTATCAAGGTTAGATTTAAGTTCCCTGTGTAGAGGTCTCGCTGGGTTGGTGTTGCACACTTCCACGCAGGGGCGGCCTTCCACCCTGCACGCGTGGGGTGAGGCCACCTCCCTACTCACACGCACCTTTGTACGATGTGTTGTAGTGAGCAGTGCAGAGAAGCCTTATAGAAGCATCACAAGCCAAAGTATCTCCTGGGATAAGGATCCTTTGCCATAAAACTCCTTTCGTGTCTCAGCCAGGCTGGGATTGGGGACGGAGAATCGCGTCCCCGTTTTTCTTTCTTGTGCATTGCTGTTCACTGAAATCAAACCACTTCAGCTGGCCGGGTGCTGTACTGGAGAGACTTTGTTAAGCACAATGGCACCCATCACTTCTGGACTCCTCTCCTGCCCTCAGGCCGTTGCAGCCGCTGCGTGTTCTGGGCATCGAGCGCACTTCCAGTTCCCACCACAAAACCTGAAGTTTTGGTGTCCCACTCCCGCTTTGTCTTCTGAGCATCTGTCCCTTGAGTTTCATCTTTTGTGGGGGCTGTTCCCTTGTCTTTCTTCGTTGCTTCAATTAATTCTGCAAGGTAGGACAGCTGAGTGTACAGGCTGGATTCCACCAAGGTGAGAGAAACCGGACGGCATGGAACCCAGAGCCCGCTTTCCACAGGGACCACCTAACTGGAGCGATGAATTGTAAACTGCATACCAGGGTAGCTTTCTTCTCCATGACTTCATCCGGTGGAAATTTATTGTAGTGAAAACCCTCTTTTACCCTAGAATGATGTGAAAGTTGGACCATGTTGACTGTTTCCTTGATGTGCAGTAGCTTGGGAGCACCGCGCCTGGCAGAGACGGCAGGCAGTAGTTTTGCACTCGGTTGTGAGCTACACAGGACACTTCACCGATTTTATTTTTTGCATTGAAAGCGAGGGAGCAGGGTTGCATATCCAAGTCCTCGGCTTCCTCCCAGCTGAAACAATAACGGATAAGTCTGGATCAATGCTGATGAAACCTCGAGCGGCCAAAGGTCCTAACGCCCAGCCAGCCTCGTGGAAGAAGGCGAACGCGTGAGGTGAGGACGGAAGGACTCGGCTCTGGGAGTGATGTCTCGCGCTGCGCCGGATTCACTGCACAAGCATGCGGCTCGACTGAGCGGGGTAGCGGTGCCCAAGCAGCAGCAGGGTTGGGTGGGGCACGAGTTTACAGATTGTAACAACTCCTGTGTTGTAAATTTACCTCATCTGTACGCCTTGTATTGGAACACTTGTTTCTCAGCACTACCTGTACCCCTGCATTGTGTTAGGCGGCAGGAAATCATGCCAGTATATAGCAGTCCTGTTGGCAACTAATTGCAAAGGCTTGTTTAAAAAACAAAACAAAACAAAGAAGGTATTTTTTAATCTTGTTTTGAAGTGGCCCCTTTTTTTTGTTGAAGCTTAGACTTCCCTTTTCTCTCGATTTATTGGTTGTCATTGTAATGTAATTGTTATAACTAAACCTAACCGTGCTGGGAAGAAGCTGTGCCATGGAGGTCTAATTTTATTTTATTTTTTTTTTAATAAAAAACATTGAAACAAACCTCCCTGCGGACTGAGCTGTACCGTAGCCTCCAGCCCGGCTGCACGTTTGATTTGACGCCCATGAGTTGGCAACTTCCATTACAAATGGGAAATCGGGATGGAGAGAAGCGACGCCTCAAGGGCAGCAGGCGCGGGGGTGCCTGTGCGGCCGGGATGGCAGCACAAGCCAGCCGGGTCTCGGCTGTCGGAGTTTGGACGGGATGGAGGTGGTCTGTGGCAGCGGGCAGATGTGATCTCTTTGATCAGACCAATTCAGTAGTTGGAAAAACCGTTCTTTGCAAGCTTTCGGGCACAACTGCCCTTCTTCGGGCACTGGGAGACTGCAGTGCGGTGGGGGCTTTTGCTTGGGAGCTGCCTGTGTCTGGATGATGGGGGAAGCCAGGAAGCTGGTCATATTCTCTCTCTCCCTCTTAGCCTCGCTTTCCTCGACGATATTTAGCTAGATCTGCCCCCGGGAGTGGGCAAGGCAGTGGTGCCAGGCGCTGGCTGTGGATTTAATGCTGGCACTGGGCTAACCTCCACTGCTGAGCAAGTCCAAGTCATGACAGGTTGACCCGGGTCCTGCACTGCCCCTGGCCCGGCTTGTCCCACGCTCCCTCCTCTCCCCTCCGGCACAGCCACGTGGAGCACGGCCTGGCAACGCCCCCCACGCATGCGCCCTCACTCCGCCCCGGCTCTTCCGCCCTCTCGGCCCACGTGAGCGCCACGCCAGCTTCGCGCGCTGACGTATCGGGGGTAGTGCGCGGGGGAAGGGGCGGGGCCAGGGGCGGAAGCGGAAGCGGGCGGTGGAGAGCG